CCCCCATCTGCCTACCTCACCACAGACTCTTGTTGCCCAGCCCTCCGGGGCCTCAGTGCTCGGGGCGCGGGGAGCCGCAGAGACTGTGTCTTGCCCTCGGCTCCCGCCCCAGAAACGCCATCGCCACACCAGGCCACCAGCAGATCCACGTTGCCACCTGCACTGAAGACTCCGGAGGCCATCGCGGGACCTCACCGGCCGGGCCGCCTCGTCTGCAGTTGTATTAAGTTGTCTCGTGTCCCCTCCTCCTGCCACCCCAGTGTTTCTTCTAGTTTTTTTTCCCTCCCTCCCTCTTCCCCCTCCTGCTCCCTCCTCCCTTGGTTCAGCACAGGTAAACGGTTCCCCTCCCCGCCTTCATGGATCACCAGCTCACGTCACATTTCCTTCTCGTTTCTTTTTGTGTGTTTATTTAAGTTATTTTCCCTCCTTCCTCCCCTTTTCTTTTCCCCTCCCTCCCTCTTCTGCCATGTAATTGGAGGTTGTGCAATGAGTTTGCAAACAGCTGGACTGTCAGGCTGCTTTTTTTCCAGATATTCCTTCTCTGCCTCCCCTCCCCTCCCCCCTCCCCCTTTCTTTCCTTCATTCTTTCTTTGGATCACTGAGCACGTGTGGAAGCTTGAGAGAAACCACAATTAAAGAGAGAGAGCGAGCGTGTGCTTTGTCCCTCCTGCTTGGACTGGATCTCCTCCTGTGTTTGGCACTGAGATCCGGTTTGTCACCCCAGGGGGATCTCGGCCAGGGGCTGGTAGGTGTCCCCTGCCCTCCCCATGCGGCACAGCCAGAGTTGTCTCAGGAGCTGGCTCCCCAGCGCCTGCCCTGGGCTGGACCCAGGCACGGGGAGGTGGCCTTGAGAGCCCCGGGGGACCTTGGCCAGCGTGAGGTGGGGGTGCAGCCCCCCTAGGGGCTGTAGCACTCTGAGCCCTTCAGCCTCCAGCCTCTGGCTCAGCACTTGGGCCATGTTTTCCAGGGGCGGGGAGGGGGGCGCACAGAGCACATGGGGGCCCAGGAGCACCAGCTGCCTAAACGTCACCTGCGGGGGTACCTGAAGTCCCGGATCTGAGAGGGCGCGTTTCAGCGCACTGACCGCGGCCGCTGTCTCGCCAGGGCCCCCCAGCCTCAGCAGGGCCAGGGTCAGGTGCAGGGCCTGGGGGGGCACCAGGAAAGCAGCGCACGATGGCGCAGCTCGGACCAGCTCTTCCTGGGCCTTGGCCACCCCCGCCTGCAGCCCGGGCTCTGTCACCATGAGGGCCACAAAGTGCGTGGGCCGTGGCTGGCGAGGGGCTGTGGCCCTGGCCGCGGTGGCGTCTCCGCCAGCTTCGGGCCAAGCCTCAGTACCCCACTCCACACGACACCCCTCTTTCGTCTTGGAAAAGTCATCCGGGGGCTGCCCTGGGACCACCACGGTCTGCGCCTCTCTGGTCCTGGCTTTGGCGGCCGGCTTCAGCGCCCTTTCTGGCTCCACCCGTGGGGAAGCGGGACTGCTGGCCCCGCCCAGCTCCTGGCCCTTCACCGAAGTCCCCTCCAGCTGCCCGTCTCAGGCGGCTGTCTGAGCCCTCCTGCCGGGGCCCCAGAGCGGGGCGCAGCCGCGCAGTCCTGTGCTTCCTGGGCCCCAGATGTGTCCTCGACTCCACGCTCATCCCCGCTGTCGGGCGCCTCTCTGGTTCCGGGCGCGTGCTCGTCCTCGTGCGCGTCCGCGTCATCCCGCACT